GTGCAGTAATCTGTTTCTTACACACACTAAAATCGCACCATTTTAAATAGCTTCGGTGGACGTTGTAAGGTTTACCCCGATTATGTTTCTAGGTTTGTCAGCACCACACCCGTGCTCGTGGGTTTCACCGAAGGGGTAAACGTCTGAGACCTGCATCACTTCGGGCTTTCCTCCTACATTAAACTGACCCGCCATGATATAACTGGAATACTGTTAAAAGCGTCGTTAAACCCAACTCACTCACTCACTCATTCCAAGCGAGATCTAGAGACCGTCCTGTTCTAAACCGTTAGGGGGCGCTAACTGGCTTGTACCTCTGCGGGACGATGCAAAACCGCGAACCGAGGCACGCTCCCCTCTCGCCCGAATCGAATCGTCCGGCCTCGGCGCTTTGCACGTGCGGGTCGTTAAGAAAAAACAAACTGCCAAAAGAAAAGGTCTAAACGCACACTTGTGATATAAATACACGTTGGTTTGTTGTTTAACACCGCACACAGTAATATTCCAGCTACATGACATCTCCCTGTGACTAATCGACAATAATGACCAGACAATCCAGTGATTGACATCATGCGGTTCAATCTACGCACTGTGCCAGCAACGAAGGATCAAATTTAGCATGGCATGACAATGACTGATCTATGACTTGTATCAATATCAATTTTCACAATACGGCTACTGGCCAATCAGATAGCTAGATTCTTTCACGAGTATCCCGACTGCTTCTGATTGGTAAAAAAGGTATCCTTTTCCTAAAGAAATTAAGCCTGTTCACAACAACAACAAAAAATTGCGTATGAAAACATCGATATATCGACAAATCGATGCATTTACCCATGGCTGCCGATAACCCATTTGAACTGGATACGTTCGATATCAGAACATCAGACTTATATTAAACATCAAAATCAACATAAACATCATCTTCATCATATTTTTAGATTTATTGTCATGCTGTCACGGACTTAAAAGTGTCTCCTCGATTCACCCTCTAATCCTAGGGGGGCGGTCGGGTAGCCTAGTGGTTAAAGCGTGCGCTCGTCACGCCGAAGACCCGGGTTCGATTCCCGACATGGGTACAATGTGTGAAGCCCATTTCAGGTCCCCCCCTTGCTGGAATATTGTTAAAAGCGGCGTAAAACCATACTCACTCACTCACTCTAATCCTAGACATTTAGAATTGTTCAATGATCTTGCTACTGGTCAATGGTGACATCGTCGTTTGCTGGTTGCCAAGTCATGTAGACATAACGGTAACGCAAAAGCCGATGCTGCAGCTAAAGCATCTCTTGACAAACCGTTATCTCTAACCGTTGTCTGTCTTACAGTGATTTCAAACCAACCATCAAAAGTTATACTCGGGATCTAGTGCAAGAGAGGTGGGACACCCAGGTAGGAATCAATAAACTTCATGAATTTAAACCAGCAACGGTCATACCTGCTTAGGGGCGGTCGGGTAGCCTAGTGGTTAAAGCGTTCGCTCGTCACGCCACAGACCCGGGTTTGATTCCCGACATGGGTACAATGTGTGAAGCCCATTTCTGGTGTCCCCCGCCGTGATATTGCTGGAATATTGCTAAAAGCGGCGTAAAACCATACTCACTCACTCACTCACTCATACCTGCTTAGGTTGTCAGTCAAGAGATGATGGGGCCGTTTTACCACGATGTCCTATTGGCCACAGTCAGCTTACTTACTGATATCCCAATTTGCTTAACACAATTGAGGACTAACCTCCTAAGTGTATCCTGTGTGATGAAAGGTTCACCGTCAAGAATATATTGCTTGACTGTGTGAAATCGCAAGGTTGGTTTGTTGGTTGGTTTGTTGTTTAACTCCGCACTCAGCAATGTTCCAGCTATATGACGATGGTCTGTAAATAATCGAGTCTGGACCAGACAATCCAGTGATTAATATCATGAGCATCGATCCACACAATTAGGATCAATGACATGCATCAACCAAGTCAGCGAGCCTGACCACCCGATCCCGTTAGTCGCCTTTTACGACAAGCATAGTCACCTTTTACGGCAAGCATGGGTTGCTGAAGACCTATTCTACCCCGGATCTTCATGGGTACAAATGCAAGTGATTCACATTATCAAACAATAAATCTGAAAGGTCTTTTTCTCCCATGTAAGCGGGCATCAAATTAAGCTACTTCAAAGAAATTGGTATGTATAGTTTAAAATATATAAGTGAATAATGAATTGCTTGTTTTAAATTTGGAGTGATGCTTTTATCAATAAAGATAAACGCTCTATCCAGGAGGTTAAAGTACTCTAAAATTATTGTCCCCCTGTCTGACACATAATTCCTATCATTATCGATGTGACTATCATGAACCAGTGTTTTAAGACAACTCATTGCTGAATATGTTTTAGTATTGACTAGTTTTGTTCACTACCGCCAGGGGCTAAAGTGATGACGTAAATCCTGCTGGGGTATCATGCAGGAAGCAGAGGTACTGTAAGTCCCCATGATCCCCAGCGAGGTGGCCTAGCTTTGGTTACTGGTGGCCTATAGCCCGTGTTTCAAACTGTATAAATAAGATTGTTATGCCCAAATATTTTTGACAAATTTGTTTTCAAATATAACTTTACATTCATGACTCACTTGTGTATATATCAACTTGATCTCGTCGCTATATGGCTAAAATAATGCCGATGTGACGTCAAATTTTAACTCACCCACTCAGAACAACAGCCTATGAAACATGATCGGTCAGGCGGCACGGGTGGCCCAGTCGCCTAAGGCGCCGCGATTCGCTGTGCAGAGTTGTGTCCCTTGGGCATGCCAGAAACCTATGATTGTGGGTTCGAATCCCGGTTCGCCCCGATTATGTTTCTAGATTTGTCAGCACCATACCCGTGCTCGTGGGTTTCACCGAAGTGGTAAACGTCTAAGACTGTTAAAAGCGGCATTAAACCCAACTCACTCACTCACGATCGGTCACAAAAACGAGCAGTCTCTCTCGTGTCGCCGTCTGCAGCTAAAAACGGCGGTATTCAGCAATACCTCATACAGTAAACTACGGTTATAACGAACACGCTTATAACGAACTGACGGATATAACAAACTTAATTTTTTTGGTCCCGACTATTTGCTGTAGTTATGCTGTATATATGCTTATAACGAACTACGGTTATAACGAACTAAAATTAGTAGTCCCTTTGAGTTCGTTATAACCGTAGTTTACTGTACATGTAGTTGCCAGCAGGCTCTCTGTCACCAGTACATCATCAGGGCTAACTTGCACAAAGCGATCTTAGCGCTAAGACTATTGTAAGCCTATGTTTAAGTATGGGAGTTACGATCATCTTAGCGCTAAGATCGCTTTGTGCAAGTTGGCCCAGGTTAAGGATGAACATAACTCCAGCAGGGGATTTTCTCATGGCATTTGTAAATAGCACTGTCAGCGTTAACACATATTTTAACAGCTATGGACAGCGACGAAGACCATGGGTCAGTCGAAGTTGGGGGATGAGAGATAGTCATTCTGAATATGTATTAAAGGTAAAATTGTTGGAGGTTTATTTCAAATCAACTGCTATATAAGTACAACTTTGAAATAACTAAAATCCTATTATTTAATAAAGTTTGTTGGAGAAATAATTTAATTCACTATTTTGTTCACTATATCTACAACCTGTCATCCCCTGGAGACCTTATTTTGATTTCCGTGAAAAACTTGTTTGTGTCCATGCTTATTGCATATATGCAACAGGTTGCGATGAACTTATAAATTATATATTTAAAGGGTTATTTAACACTTTCTTTTTTGAAAGAATATGTGTTTTGAACCTTTATTTTGAAATAGTCAAGACTAGGAGTATTTTAATCTTGAATTTTAGTAATATTGGTTACTTTTATAACTACCTGTGACCCCTTTTTAGATAGTGTTTTAAGGTAGCGGACCTTTGTACTCAAGTGTAATTTCGCGTTCTGAGAGAGCACCCTTTTCAAAGTGCTCTTGCTGCCACGGTAGAATGGAGATAAACCTACTGTGTTCTGAACTTTGATGTAGTCCTCTGTAGATAAGACACCTCTAATAATAACTTGGAACCGATCGCTTATACAGTAAACTACGGTTATAACGAACACGCTTATAACGAACTGACGGATATAACGAACTTAATTTTTTTGTCCCGACTATTTGCTGTAGTTATGCTGTATTTATGCTTGTAACGAACTACGGTTATAACGAACTAAAATTAGTAGTCCCTTTGAGTTCGTTATACCCGTAGTTTACTGTACTTATTGTTTATTTAGTGATGCATTTTATATTCATCTTAAAATATAAACTACGTATTTCACTCGAGTAAAATAACACTTTGACATTGACACTATTGTTTTCAGAATACCGTCGGGAAGATAATTAAGAAATTGCACTTGTTTATATAATTATTATGCATGTAAAAAAACATGTTTACGTCAAATGACCTGACAAGGTTGATATTTTCACTCCGGTACCAATGCTGTCAGAACACTCGATAAGATGCTATATGTCAAGATACACTCACTGTAACTTATTCCAAGGCATGGCAATTGCCCAAGGCGTTATGAGACAATACAAATTAAGGGACATGTTATTTTGTTTGCTTTGTTGTTTAACGCCGCACTTAGTAGATACCCGGCCACTTGACGCCGATCTGTAAATAATCGAGCTTGGGCCAGACAATAAAGTGATTGACATCATGAGCTTCGATTTACGCAGTTGGGATACGATGACATGCACCAACCATTTTACCAAGTCTAACCACCCGATTCGGTGAGTTTCTCTTACGACAAGAATAGTTGGGTGAAGACCAATTCTAACCCGGATCTTCACGGGTAAGGACAATTTATATGCGAATCAGTAAAAAGGTTTGGACAAGAGGTACACATATTTTTCTGAAAAATGTAAAATTATTCTCAAATGCAATCATTTTGTAAGGATTAGAAGTTTTAATATATTCTTTGAAATGAAACAATTCATTTGAAATCGAAATGCGCCTTACCTTACTACCTTGCTGATTGATGTCCTCAGCAGCGCCCGTGTGACGGAGGCAATACTTGCCAATCACTCTAGAATGTATTGATTGGCAAAATATACCGATAGACCTCTCGTGGAGTGAACAAGTTGTCAGACAAAACACTAGCACTAAGCGACTTTACTATGTCGATCTGAACTTTCCTGTAGGGTTATAAGACATTGAGGGGGAGAGGGGGGGGGCTGGGATTTATCTTACAAAGTATATTGTCCCAGAAAATTCTTGAATTTTTTGTGTGCCTCTGACAGTTTAATGAAATGAAACTGTTAGCTACAAAAATACATTGTTGCAAGCTGTCTTTTGTGAAAAATGCTTTGGCTCATACTGCTAATTAAACAAATACCTGGTTTTGCAGTTGTAGCTGAATTAATAGCTAGTCTTCATACACATACACTTCCAGAATATCAATCGGCCCCTTACCCATGTTTATAGTTTCTTGCGGTAATACATCAAACGTCACACTCGTGACATACAGCTGTAGTAGTGCTGACTGACTGCCCGATACAGACACGTGACATACAATGTAGCATGTAGTATTGTTGACTGTGTTGCCGATACAGACACGTGACATACAATGTAGCTGTAGTATTGTTGACTGTGTTGCCGGTACAGACACGTGACATACAATGTAGCATGTAGTATTGTTGACTGTGTTGCCGATACAGACACGTGACATACAATGTAGCTGTAATATTGCTGTCTGCTCCACACAGACACGTGACATACAATGTAGCTGTAATATTGCTGTCTGCCCCACACAGACACGTGACATACAATGTAGCTGTAATATTGCTATCTGCCCAACACAGACACGTGACATACAATGTAGCTGTAATATTGCTGTCTGCCCCACACAGACACGTGACATACAATGTAGCTGTAATATTGCTGTCTGCCCCACACAGACACGTGACATACAATGTAGCTGTAATATTGCTGTCTGCCCCACACAGACACGTGACATACAATGTAGCTGTAATACTGCTGTCTGTCTCACACAGACACGTGACATACAATGTAGCTGTAATATTGCTGTCTGCCCCACACAGACACGTGACATACAATGTGGCTGTAATATTGCTGTCTGCCCTACACACACACGTGACATACAATGTAGCTGTAATATTGCTGCCTGCCCCACACAGACACGTGACATACAATGTAGCTGTAATATTGCTATCTGCCCCACACAGACACGTGACATACAATGTAGCTGTAATATTGCTATCTGCCCCACACAGACACATGACATACAATGTAGCTGTAATATTGCTATCTGCTCCACACAGACACGTGACATACAATGTAGCTGTAATATTCTTCTCTGCCCCACACAGACACGTGACATACAATGTAGCTGTAATATTGCTATCTGCCCCACACAGACACTTGACATACAATGTAGCTGTAATATTGCTGTCTGCCCCACACAGACACGTGACATACAATGTAGCTGTAATATTGCTGTCTGCCCCACACAGACACGTGACATACAATGTAGCTGTAATATTGATATCTGCCCCACACAGACACGTGACTTACAATGTAGCTGTAATATTGCTATCTGCCCCACACAGACACGTGACATACAATGTAGCTGTAATATTGCTGTCTGCCCCACACAGACACGTGACATACAATGTGCCTGTAATATTGCTGTCTGCCCCACACAGACACGTGACATACAATGTAGCTGTAATATTGCTATCTGCTCCACACAGACACGTGACATACAATGTAGCTGTAATATTGCTATCTGCCCCACACAGACACATGACATACAATGTAGCTGTAATATTGCTGTGTGCCAAACACAGACACGTGACATACAATGTGGCTGTAATATTGCTGTCTGCCCCACACAGACACGTGACATACAATGTAGCTGTAATATTGCTGCCTGCCCCACACAGACACGTGACATACAATGTGGCTGTAATATTGCTATCTGCTCCACACAGACACGTGACATACAATGTAGCTGTAATATTGCTGCCTGCCCCACACAGACATGTGACATACAATGTAGCTGTAATATTGCTGTCTGCCCCCCACAGACACGTGACATACAATGTAGCTGTAATATTGCTGTCTGCCAGACACAGACACGTGACATACAATGTAGCTGTAATATTGCTGTCTGCCCCACACAGACACGTGACATTCAATGTAGCTGTAATATTGCTGTCTGCCCCACACAGACACGTGACATACAATGTAGCTGTAATATTTATATCTGCCCCACACAGACACGTGACATACAATGTAGCTGTAATATTTATATCTGCCCTACACAGACACGTGACATACAATGTAGCTGTAATATTGCTATCTGCCCAACACAGACACGTGACATACACTGTGGCTGTAATATTGATATCTGCCCCACACAGACACGTGGCATGCAATGTAGCTGTAATATTGCTGTCTGCCAAACACAGACACGTGACATACAATGTAGCTGTAATATTGCTGTGTGACCCACACAGACACTTGACATGCAATGTAGCTGTAATATTGCTATCTGCCCCACACAGACACGCGACATACAATGTAGCTGTAATATTGCTGTCTGTCCCACACAGACACGTGACAAACAATGTAGCTGTAATATTGCTATCTGCCCCACACAGACACGTGACATACAATGTAGCTGTAATATTTATATCTGCCCCACACAGACACGTGACATACAATGTAGCTGTAATATTTATATCTGCCCCACACAGACACGTGACATACAATGTAGCTGTAATATTGCTGTCTGCCCCACACAGACACGTGACATACAATGTAGCTGTAATATTTATATCTGCCCCACACAGACACGTGACATACAATGTAGCTGTCATATTTATATCTGCACCACACAGACACGTGACATACAATGTAGCTGTAATATTGCTATCTGCCCAACACAGACACGTGACATACACTGTGGCTGTAATATTGATATCTGCCCCACACAGACACGTGACATGCAATGTAGCTGTAATATTGCTGTCTGCCAAACACAGACACGTGACATACAATGTAGCTGTAATATTGCTGTGTGACCCACACAGACACTTGACATGCAATGTAGCTGTAATATTGCTATCTGCCCCACACAGACACGCGACATACAAAGTAGCTGTAATATTGCTGTCTGTCCAACACAGACACGTGACAAACAATGTAGCTGTAATATTGCTATCTGCCCCACACAGACACGTGACATACAATGTAGCTGTAATATTTATATCTGCCCCACACAGACACGTGACATACAATGTAGCTGTAATATTGATATCTGCCCCACACAGACACGTGACATACAATGTAGCGGTAATATTTATATCTGCCCCACACAGACACGTGACATACAATGTAGCTGTAATATTGCTGTCTGCCCCACACAGACACGTGACATACAATGTAGCTGTAATATTGCTGTCTGCCCCACACAGACACGTGACATACAATGTAGCTGTAATATTGCTATCTGCTCCACACAGACACGTGACATACAATGTAGCTGTAATATTTATATCTGCCCCACACAGACACGTGACATACAATGTAGCTGTAATATTGCTGTCTGCCCCACACAGACACGTGACACACAATGTAGCTGTAATATTGCTATCTGCTCCACACAGACACGTGACATACAATGTAGCTGTAATATTGCCATCTGCTCCACACAGACACCTGACATACAATGTAGCTATACTATTGCTATCTGCCCCACACAGACACGTGACATACAATGTAGCTGTAATATTTATATCTGCCCCACACAGACACGTGACATACAATGTAGCTGTAATATTTATATCTGCCCCACACAGACACGTGACATACAATGTGGCTGTAATATTGATATCTGCCCCACACAGACACGTGACATGCAATGTAGTTGTAATATTGTTGTCTGCCAAACACAGACACGTGACGTACAATGTAGCTGTAATATTGCTGCCTGCCCCACACAGACACGTGACATACAATGTAGCTGTAATATTGCTGTCTGCCAAACACAGACACGTGACATACAATGTAGCTGTAATATTGCTATCTGCTCCACACAGACACGTGACATACAATGTAGCTGTAATATTGCTATCTGCCCAACACAGACACGTGACATACAATGTAGCTGTAATATTGCTGTCTGCCCCACACAGACACGTGACATACAATGTAGCTGTAATATTGCTGTCTGCCCCACACAGACACGTGACATACAATGTAGCTGTAATATTGCTGTCTGCCCCACACAGACACGTGACATACAATGTGGCTGTAATACTGCTGTCTGTCCCACACAGACACGTGACATACAATGTAGCTGTAATATTGCTGTCTGCCCCACACAGACACGTGACATACAATGTAGCTGTAATATTGCTGTCTGCCCCACACAGACACGTGACATACAATGTAGCTGTAATATTGCTGTCTGCCCAACAGAGACACGTGACGTACAATGTAGCTGTAATATTGATATCTGCCCCACACAGACACGTGACATACAATGTAGCTGTAATATTGCTGTCTGCCCCCACACAGACACGTAACATACAATGTAGCTGTAATATTGCTGCCTGTCCCACACAGACACGTGACATACAGTGTAGCTGTAATATTGCTGTCTGACAAACACAGACACGTGACATACAATGTAGCTGTAATATTGCTGTCTGCCCCACACAGACACGTGACTTACAATGTGGCTGTAATATTGCTATCTGCTCCACACAGACACGTGACATACAATGTAGCTGTAATATTCTTCTCTGCCCCACACAGACATGTGACATACAATGTAGCTGTAATATTGCTGCCTGTCCCACACAGACACGTGACATACAGTGTAGCTGTAATATTGCTGTCTGACAAACACAGACACGTGACATACAATGTAGCTGTAATATTGCTGTCTGCCCCACACAGACACGTGACTTACAATGTGGCTGTAATATTGCTGTCTGCCCCACACAGACACGTGACATACAATGTAGCTGTAATATTGATCTCTGCCCCACACAG